AATGGCTGCAGTGGACAGGACAGAAAAGATTCAAGAGATGCTAAAGAGACAGTGACTAAGATTTAATGATCCTCCACTCTGACTCTGAGGAACCAGTTCATGACTGGGCGGATGGAAAGAACACAAACAGAGAAATTGGGAAGGAAATTGCTGAGCACTGTTTTTAATTTTGGGGGTTTGAGGAGCCTTTGGCACATTTTTCTATAGATTCTCCTGTTGGTTATCAGAAATACGGTCTAGAGCTCAAGACAAAAATCCAGGCTGGAGTTGGAGGTTTGGAAGTCACTGGTAACAGGTGGGAGTTGAAACTGCAGCTTCCAATTAAACCCTAAATAGAACACAGTGAATAAAGAGGTGGAGTCAGGGGTAGACTCCTGAGCCAGCTGTGGTGATGCACGCCTGTAACCCCAGAGGACTCAGCAGGCTGAGGACGGAGATTGCTTCAGGCCAAGAGTTCACGGGTGCGATGAGCCATGCTTGCACCGCTGCACTCCAGCCTGGAGGACAGACAGTGACCCTGTCTCTAAAAAAGGTGAGGAAGGGTAGACTCTTGGGGAACACCAATAATTCACGAAGAACATGCAGCAAAGCAGATTGAGCATGAGATGTTTAGAGCAGAGATACAAGGAGGAGGGAGTGTGTCAGGGACAGCATGGGGAAGGGCTTCAAAAAAGTGTAAGTGTTTCATATCAATGAATGGAAAAGATATAAATGAGCTGAAGGAAGAAATTAAGTTTACATTAAATTTGACAATTAAGAGATCCTTTGTAACCTCAGAGAAACAGGTTTAAGGAAATTGTGGAGGACTCGGCATGGCTGTCAAGGGTAGAAAGGACTTTGAGCAGTAGGAAAAGAGGGGACGCAGGGCTGGAGAACTGCTTTCAAAGATGGAGGCAGTTGAATGTGTTTATGCACTGGAGGAAGGAATCTCTGTTAGGTGGAAGAGGCGATGTGATTTCACTGTCCGGTTAAAGGGTCTAGGACGACTGCGAGGTCAGGCTGTGGGAGGACCTCGATCATCACCAGGCATCAGTTCTTGCTTCATAAAGCTCAGTGTCAGGCTGAGGCAAGCAGGGACTGAGGAGCTAGAGTCTGCCCCCGCTGCTGGCAGAGATCACGCTCAGAGCTCACGTCCTGCTCAGGAGAGGTCAGCACTGCCCTCAGGGCTGATGCAGAAGAAAAAGCCCATCTTTGCTCTTGATGCAGTTCCCCTAAATAACCTCTAACCCAGATGGTGCCTTGCACACGCAGCTCCATCCAGCATTCCCCGCACGCCAGGCTGTTCTTCCCCGGCCATGCAGGTTCCTGCTTCCAGCAGTCGTTCCTGCCTCCTCTCTGCCAGAACAGCTGTGCCGCGACTGCTGCCAGCTCTGTCTATTGGAGTAAACTGCATTTTCAGGCCTCTCATCTCACTGGGATACAATGAAAGGATGCTGGTCAAAATAACAGCAGTCTGTGGCCTGTAGCCCCCACCAGCAGAATTTCTGGCATGCAGATAAGTTCTCCTTCCTCTCCAACTTTCCTTTCCAGCAGCAGGAACTGGGTTTTCACACATCCTCCCACAGCCAAGAGTGGAATCGGAAGTCACAGCACAAAAACTGTCCTCGCTGCTGTTTCAGGGATTTGTCACCACCAGGAGAGGCCCTTCTCTGTCACCACTGGAACTGGCCTTCCCGCTCCAAGGTTCCAGGCTGCTCCACTGAGCCTTCAGGAGGACCCTCCCAGTGCACTCCAGCTCTTCTGTATGGCCCTAAACAAGGCTGCTTTGCTTCCTCAGAACCTTAAACAACCTCTGCATTGCAATTTTTGGACTCTTTCAGTTTGACAGTTCTCTTTCTGTTAGACCTGGGATCACAGTTCAACTTAGAACTGTGTCCAGACACAATTTTTATGACATTCTGTGAAATCACTCCCTCAATCTTTATCCCTTCCAGTACTCCAGCATGGTCCCAGGACTAAGCCAATGCATCCCAACTGCTCTTCTCACCTCCCCCATACTCTGTGAGAGGGTTGGAAGCAGCCTACTCAGGACTGACTCCTTCACGCCTAGCATCCCACGCTCTCCCTCCGTGCTTGAACAGGTCTGGAATTCTCCAGTGGGTGCATCTTGGAGATTCTCATTAGGGACTGGCATTGAAAGCACCTTCAGAAGCCTTGTCAGCTGTTCACTATGCTGCTTTCCCAGTACAGAGGGCGAGCCCCTCTCTGATTCTTCGATGTCAGTGGGAAAGGGGAGCAGGCTCAGAAAGGCCAGCCATGTTCCAGGTCTTCAATGAGCAGGAATCTGCCATCTGCAAGCCATGGTTTGCCTTTTAGCTTCCAAGGGAAAGTCCAGGAGTGGATTCTCATTGAAAGCCCTGCTCAGCTGAGGAGCAGACTACTCTGAGAACCAACTACCGCCTCTATGTTCAGCTGGTGGTTTACAACGGGCAGGGTTTTGCATTGAGTGTCAGGCTGGAGCAGAGCTGTGAGAGGCAAGACAGACACAGAGTGGTCTCACTTGCTGTTCAGAATCTTAGAAACCGGACAGATACCTTTTGGCTACCCTCAAGTTTTTAGAATTAATGCCAATTTTTCAGCAGGCAGGTAATTTAGTGACATAGGAAGCATGTCACCATGGACATTTATTTCATGTGTACTTTCAGAGTTTTCTGATGTGAGTCATTTTCTAAAAGTTATAAATAATGGTTAGTCTTGGAAGGTAAATGTACTTGCCACCATTTTTAGAAAAATGTAGAAAGCACTCCAAAATGTTATCTCTTACAGCCCAATTTTTCCTGTGGTACTTATATCTTACATAGAACAGCTTTTTTTTTTTTTTGAAATGGAGTCTCGCTCTTGTTGCCCAGGCTGGAGTGCAATGGCAGGATCTCAGCTCACTGCAACCTCTGCCTCGCCAGGTTCAAGAAATGATTCTCCTGCCTCAGCCTCCCAAGTAGCTGGGATTACAGCCATGCCTCATCTCATCCAGCTAATTTTGTCATTTTAGTAGAGATGGGGTTTCACCATGTTGGTCAGGCTGGTCAAACCCCTGACCTCAGGTGATGTGCCCATCTTGGCCTCCCAAAACGCTAAGGATTATGGGCATGAGTCACCATGCCAAGCTGAACTATTCTTCTTCAACCTTATAAACATACATAAGATTTCTTATAGGTGAAATGGGAATAAAAATACCTACTTCTCATAAGATGCTTGTGAGGATTAAATGAAAAACACATCTAGCACTAGCCCAGATCGTAATAGATGTTCAATACTACCAGTTACTTTTTTGCTAGGGTGATAGATTTGTGAATATGTTTTCCTTCTATTAGGCAAACCTCCTTCAACAGTGTATTATCTCAAAAATTTAAATATTAAAGAGTAAATGATGTTATGTATCTGGTTATCTTCCTAACCTTGTTATTCTAACTAAAAGCAATTAAGAACAGAAGGAAATGAAAAAAGGTGTTTAAAAAGCAACAATGTTAGCTATTCCCTATTCCAAGTGCTGAGCAACTGTAATACTGTTACCAATGTAGCATAACAATTTTACAAGTGGTGTCTTTCCAAATGAGAAGAATAGCTACTTATTACAGTTTGTCACTTTGCCAGATGCAAGGCTAAGTGCTTTTATGCATAGTCTCATTTAATCCTGGCAATTCCTCTATGAGGTAGGTATTATGAGCATTTGTCATTTTATAGATGGGGAAATTAATGACAAGAGCTTTTATGTAACTTTCCTTCTGTGATTCAAGTGCTAGGTAGTGGCGGTAGAATCCAAGCGTGAGTCTGTTTATTCTGACCCTGTGAGTATAGCCACCAAATGGTACGTCACTTCCATCTTCAGTGTGTGACATTTCATTAGAGCTTGACCTAATGCAGTTTAACCTCCACCTGCCATTCTGAACACTTCCTAGCAGGTGCACAAGTACAGCCCAAATAGCTACATGTGAGAGGAGAAAGAGCACCGGCCTGGGGACCAGCTCTGTGGCTTCTAACCCTGCCTCTGCAGCTTGCTAGCTGTCCACCTTTGGCCTATGACTTACCCTCTCTGAGGCTACATTTCTTTACCTGTAAACTGGCAATTAAGGTTCCTTCTCTGCTTACTTGGAAAAGAGGTGAGTAGTTACAAAGACTGTCCATGTCCTCCAGCCAAAACTACTGGGAACACCGCTCTATGCTGATGTATGTATTACTCATTACAGTGAGAGAGAATGTCACCACAGGAGACGGTAGGGCACTGGGGTCTGAGAGTGTGAAAGGAAGTATAATGTTATAGGATGTGGGCTCTGGCTGGGTGCTTTCAGGGAGGGGCCAGTGAACCAAGAGTTCATTCTGGATTGTTAGGGACAGGGCCATGACTGGATATCTTAATAAATCTCATGTACAGAGAGTGCAGACTAGAGTGAGACTAGAGCTGTTGTGGGTAAAGAAGTAGCCTTCATTCATATTAGCCAGAAGGTGCCATGTGGCCTTTTGTGATTTTACAAGGACCTTGTTTTTGTCTGTGCACAGAAGAAGTGATGAAGGGGCACTGTGTTGTCTCACTGCATCATGGTCCCAGAATGAGCATGTGTTACTGTTCTGTGGGATGGTGCCTGGCAGAGCGGCATGGCTTTGCTGGGAGCTCCTAGCCATCTTCCGACAACATCGAGGCCCAGGGGACACAGCAAGTAGCTCCTGGGTATCAATCGGGGCTACTTTTCTCCCTCAAGACCAAATGAGACAATGTAAGCAAAAGAAGCAAAAGAAAGTTTTGTTAATTACAAAGCATTATGAAAATTAAGAAATATATATATATATCAAGACTGAATGCTGGCATTTTGGTTGGTATTAAAATTAGAAAGAAGATCACCTTTCACCTTTTACAACCAAAAATTAAGTAGGTGTTTCCTGCAAATTTGGGGTAACAGAAATATTCACTTCTCTCAAGAAACAAGACAAGTGCTGCCCTTGAGGGCTCAGGGCAAGGGGAAGCACCCTCCTCACTCAATCCTGCTTCTGTCGTTATCTGCCTCTAGGTCGGACTCATCTCAGGTGCAGTCTTCGTGATCCTCGGATTGACTGTTCTGGCAGTGGGCTTTCTTGTGCCCCCCAAAATCGAAGCATTTGGTGAAGCCGATTTTGTGGTGGTTGACACGCATGCTGTCCAGTTCAACAGTGCTCTTGACATGTATAAGCTGGCAGGAGCTGTTCTCTTCTGCATCGGGGGCACATCCATGGCCGGGTGCCTGCTGATGTCAGTGTTTGCAAAGAGCTACTCCAGAGAAGAAAAAGTCCTCCAGCAGAAGTTTAAAGAACGAATCGCAGACATCAAAGCCCACACCCAGCCCATTACAAAAGCCCCGGGGCCAGGGGAAACGACAATTCCAGTCACTTTGTCCAGGGTTCAAAATGTTCAGCCTCTATCGGCAACCTGAAACCTTTTCCACCCCAGTTCTTCTTGTCTGATTTATGCCTGTGGTTAAAAGCAGCAGGCCGGCTTTTGAGAGGAAGAAGATGTGGCATGGACTGCCCGAGGCTGTGTTTAGCTGTGGGCAGCACAGTGGGTGGACTCACACTTGCTCAGTCCAGGCGGCTCTGGCGGAGGTCAGTGCCATGCCTAAGTCTGCACACGTGCATCCAGCTACTTAAGACGGGTGCTTCCTTGTGCCTGGCCACCAGGAGCTCCCTGGAACTCCTCTTTCATGGACTGTGACTCTGTGTTATTTTCCATGTTATTTGAAAGTGCCGAACAGTTTAGACCAGCTCACCAATGGCTAATGTGGTTCACTTGATTTTCTAATGTTGGTTTATCTACTCTTTCCTTTGTGGTGCTGTCTTCCATTCCTGTCTCACTATGTGTAAAATTTTGTCATGTGTGTTCATAGAAACGTGGAATTTTCTCATTTTGATCCGAATATGTCTTTTAGCTATATCTTGATATGAGGTTCCTGACATTGAATACAAAGTTATCAGCATTCACAAATCTTTTTGTTTTCTCCGTGGTATTTTTTCTCCTTTCAGATGAAGTGCTATTCTTTTGCCCAGGTTGGAGTGCAGTGGTGAAATCATAGCACACTGCAGCCTTGAACCGCTGGGCTCAAGCGATCCTCCCACCTCAGCCTCCCAAGCAGCTGGGACTACAGGCACCTGCCACCACCCCCAGCCAATATTTTTAAAAAATTTTTTTAGAGGCAGGAATTTGCTATCCAATTTATTTTAAAAAGCTAAAATTGCCAACTTTCAAGTCTTGACAAAAAAAATTAATTTTAAGAGAGTCTACTTACACAGTGTTCCAAAGTACTGAACTAGAAACCAGGAAATTTCAGTTTCTTCTACTCCCTGTGTGACCTTGGGGAAATTATTTAACCTCTCAGACCTCATTTTCCCCTTCTGTATAATGGGAGTCCTGGATCATAAGACGTCTGGGCTCTCATCACTCAAACATCCAAGATTCCATTTCTGTGGAATCTCATTTTATCATCGAGTCTCTCCCCAGCAGGTGTTTGTAATGTTTTGTGGCTCTCGCACATGGTGGCTTCTTTCAGAATTAGACTCCTGGAAAGCCACTGAGTCAGCAGCCTTCACACTATCTACCCTTAAATAGTCAACCCCAGCAATGTATACAATGCCGTCATATTTTTATAAAAACAAGAGTAAGCCATCCTCAAATAAGGAACCCCTTGGTAGATATTAACCTTAAAAGGGGTTTTGTTCTCAAACAAGATGCTTTGTGGTCCAGCAAGACGTTCATCTCATCCTTGCACTTTTTTTTAATTTGTGGATTCAGAGTAGACTGAGGAAAATGGAAAATGTGACCTTGGTATTTTCTTAGAATTGTACCACCTTACAGCCTGTCTTTTTTTTTTTTTTTTCCTTCCTCCACTGGATAAATAAAATATATGAACGAGCAGAACCTGGATTGCATTGTCATTTCTTCGGTGTGGTTATTTTCTCTCCAACATGTAATTTTCCATTCTGAGACTGAATAGGCTCTGCTGTTTCCCCGGCTAAATGGAAGAATAAATGAAGCAATTAGTACTCTTTGTGCACAGTGTTTATTTTGCACAGTCCAGCACAAAACACAGGGCAAATCAGTATCCTCAGCAAGGATCATTGGCCAGATTTTGGAGAAATCGTTCCAGGTTCCTCAGGTTCCCTATCTTCCAGTGGAAATACCATTTTAATTGGATTCTGTAAAGACTCATCCAAGCCCCGAAGCATCTATTCAAGGACACATCGTTTGAAGCTTTCCCTGCTTGCCTCTGTCTTGCATACCAATGAATCTTTGAGGACGAGACTTGACTTATAAAAACCTCCAGAATGAAAAATTATAGCTGATGGGGCTTGGAAACTTCTAGGTCCAGACATAATAGCAACTACTTAAAAGGCGGCTCTATTCCTCAGATGAAGGCCTAAAAGAAGCCGAGGTGGTTATCGTAGGAGCTGGGTCCGGAAGAGCAACTCAGCATGCCCTGTCTTTCCTGTTCAGTCCAGGCTTCATGGAAGGAGGTACTTTGTAAGGACCCTCCCACCCCATGAGGCAAGGACTGGGCATTAGTGTGGCAGAGCAGAGAAAGGTGGTTGAACCGAATTAGGAATACAGTTGGCTCTTTGGAAAGAATGCAGGCTGTATGTAATCAGAGGCTGGGAAGCAGTGGACTTTTTTTTTGAGACAGAGTCTTGCTCTGTCTCCAGACTGGAGTGCAGTGGCATAATCTTGGCTCACTGCAACCTCCCACTCCTGGTTCAAGCCATTCTCCTGCCTCAGCCTCCTGAGTAACTGGAATTATAGGTATGCACCACCACGCCCAGTTAATTTTTGTATTTTCAATAGAGACAGGGTTTCACCATATTGGCCAGGATGGTCTTGATCTCCTGACCTTATGATCTGCTTGCCTCAGCCTCCCAAAGTGTTGGGATTACAGGCATGAATAATTGCGCCCGGCCAGACAACACATTTTTTAAAGATATTTTCTGGCCTGGATCGGGCAGACATCTCAACTGTATGGCGAACAAGAATGACCCAGAGTCTTGATCCCAGCCTGAGCGCCTGCCCTGAACCAGTCCTTCCCTTCAGCATTGACACATCTAAAACAAAGGGAAACCACATTCCTCTGATGCTACGATGGCAACTGGAGAAACTGAGAAATGGGTTCTGGCCCAGAGGTCAGGCACTCACAGGCACTTGGAGTGACAGAAACCATAGATGGGATTGTTTGTTTGTTTTCTTGTAAATTTGCTTAAGTTCTTTGTACAATAGGAAAGACTTGGAACCAACCCAAATGCCCATCAATGACAGACTGGATAAAGTAAATGTGGCACACATACACAATGGAATACTACTACACAGCCATAAGAAAGGATGAGTTCATGCTTATTTTCCCAAAAATAACCACCTGCCTATTACCTGGTTATTAACTCATCATTCAAGGCCACATCAAGAAAAACTAGCAATAAGAACAACAACTAACCTGTATTGAGTGGGAGGCGTCATTGAAGCCTTTCATATATATCAATTCATTTAATTTTCAAAAACACCTATAAGGTCAGGACTAATATCATATACCCATTTTATAGGAAAGGAAACAGGCAGAGAGGATAACTCATCCAAGGGTCATCAGTAACTGACACAGGCAAGATTTAAATTCAAGCAGCCTGGCTCCAGAGAATGTTCGAGGTAAGCCACTACGCCAATATGTTCTTCTGCCTCCAGAAATGCCACCTTTTCTCTGCAGCTTCTCCTTGCTGTCTCTCTCTCTCTCTGTCTCTCTCTCGCTCTCGCTCGCTCTCTCTCACACACACACACACACACACACACAGGCTCAGACTTAATGTCTCTTCCTCAATAAATTCGGCGCTTTGTACAAACACATTCTATCCCACTTATCTCTCTTAAGGATGGTGATTTGTTTACACATCTGTCCTTCCATTAGAAGCTGACTGTTAGCTGCTTGGATACAGAGAGCGTATCTTAATAAGTGGTATACGCTCAGAATCAAATACGTCAAAGCTATGTGTTACTATTATATCACCATTTAAAACAATTACTGCACTTTCATTCAGAGCTAAGCAATGCGCTGGCACTATAAAGGGATGATAAGTAGGGGCACTAATGTTTTCGCATATCGTGTGTGTGTGTGTGTGTGTGTGTGTGTGTGTGTGTGAAGGAAAAAAAGGATTTTCTAGGGAGGACTAAGCTAAGAGTATGAATGTGGGTTCCCCAAAGCAAAGCTTCCCTCAACATAACATGTTAGTGGGAGAAGCCCAGTCTGATGACTAGCTCACCACTTCTATACCTAAAAGTGAAATCTTCCAGCCAACGAGTCTTGCCCACTGACACGGAGCTATCGGTCATACTTCTCACACCAGCAAGAGCCCAATGGAAAGGCTAGATGCACCTGGTCAAGAGCAGAGTGAATTGTTTCCAGCAGTCCTGAATAAACCATCTGGTCTTTCATCCTTAAATATGAAAATACAACCTGAGCCATCTGACATCTGTGAAAAACCAGTACCTTGAAGGAGGACATGCCCAGGGAATAGTAGACTCAGTGGGAAACATAAGTACTTGAGAAATCACAGAACTCTAAACAGAATCTCATTAGTCTTCAGGAAGAAATTAAAGCCATAAGATAAAAGTAGAATACTATGAAAAAGAACATCAAGTAGCTCAAAATAACAAATAACTCAAAAGAGTAAGTTGAAAGTACTTCCTGAAAAGCAAAATAATCCCTCACTTTAAAAAATAAAAAATATGAGACAATTGGTAAAGACAAATTCAAATCAAGGAGAAAAAGACACAGAAAACGGTAATAGAGAAGAAATTATCAGCAAAATAATAGAAAACATTTTCCAAAGCTATAGGATACAAAAAAATCTTCAGATTGAAAATGCCTGCTGAAGACCAGGTGCGGTGGCTTACAACCGTAATCCCAGCACTTTGGGAATCCAAGGTGGGCAGATTACTTGAAGTTAGGAGTTCAAGACCCGCCTGGCCAACATGGTGAAACCTCGTCTCTACAAAAATACAAAAATTAGCCAGGCCTGGTGGCGCGAGACTGTAATCCCAACTGCTCAGGAGGCTGAGGCAGGAGAATTGCTCGGACCCAGGAGTGGAGGTTGCAGTGAGCAGAGTTTGCTACCCCACTGCACTCCAGCCTGGGTGACAAAGTGAGACTCCATTTCAAAAAAAAGAAAGAAAGAAAAATCCTGCTGAATATTCAGCAATATGAATGGTTAAAAAGAAAAGTCAGGCACGTTTTTGTGAAATGTTTGGACACAAAAGATCAAAAGATCCAAGAAGCCTCCCAAAGAGGAGCAGCCCACCTATGAAATGATAAAAGTCAGACTGGGAAAGAGCAGGTATGATCTGTGCAAAAGCTAGTCATCGAGGTAACTGAGTCTATAGAAAACACGTGTTCCTCTAATCAAGAAAGAAAAGGCAAAGCAATAGATACTCCAGGAAGAAAACTTTTTAATAAATTGATCAAAGAAATAATGGTTGTGACATGATGGGGAAGAATTGGTAGAGTATAAGAAAAATGAAGCCACTGGCAACTTGACCTTCGCACTAGACAAACATTCTATTTATGTAGAACAAAAGCTGCAACTATTGAACCCACAGAGAGAAAACCCGAAGGTCATCACCTCGATAGTTTGCAGTGATCATTACAAAGTCAAAGGAATTCAAGCTCTGCTACCTTGTCTTCAACTTTCAGAATCAAACTATAGCCAGAAACCTAAGTTACGATTGTAAAAAAGCTAACGGAAAACAGTAATAGAGACCGGGACTTGGAGAGAACGCTAACACATTGTAGCTTTCTACACATTGTAAAATGAACTCCATATAGGTGATAAATCTGATTATATGAAAAGGAAGGTAGGGCTAGCAAAATCTGAAAAGCCAAATTAAAAAAAACTAAGACGAGATAATGACAGGGATACTCATAGTCTCATCTGGTTTAGTGAAGAGTCGTGAGTAACTGTCTTAGCCTATTTGGGCTGTTAGAACAAAACACCATAGATTGGGTGGCTTATGAACAAGAGACATTTGTTTCTCACAGTTCCTGGAGGCTGGGAAATCCAAGATATGTCAAGAGCAAATTTAGTGTCTGGGGAGGGCTGCCCTCTTTTTCATCCATGGTGCATGAATCTGGAAACCATCATTCTCAGCAAACTGACACAAGAACAGAAAATCAAACACCTCATGTTCTCACTCATAGGCGGGTGTTGAACAATGAGAACACATGGACACAGGGAGGGGAGCATCACACACTGGGATCTGTTGGGCGGGGGGCAAGGGATGGACAGTGGGAGGGTGGGGAGGTCGGGGAGGGATAACATGGGAGAAACGCCAGATGTAGGTGATGGGGGGATGGAGGCAGCAAACCACATTGCCATGTGTGTACCTATGCAACAATCCTGCATGATCTGCACATGTACCCCAGAACCTAAAGTACAATTTTTTTAAAATCTGGGAAAAAATACAAGTCATAGAAACATTTTGGTCTATTACCATCTCCAAATTATGTCCGAAAGTAAATCGCAATTTGTTCATTCAAGAGTTTATTGCTTTAAGAAAACAGTACATGCTTTCCTCTTACCAGTTCTTTAAAATTCTATGTCTTCCTCGATAAAAAAATTCTTTAGAATAAGCTGCCTTCTAAATGTATAATAATGTGTATAGTAAGAGTGATCCTATTTTTTTATCCTTTACAAATACAAGTGGCAAATTGTGTTCCATGGCAAATTCTCCTCTGTCCCTCTTATTTAGCATTTCTATATGACTTTTTAAAGCACATGCAATAAAAGTAAGTAATAATGCTTTAGTAGCTATTAAAAGTCATCTAGTCTCCCACTAGGCTCCTAATGTTAAAATTCAGTAGGTAGTACTTGACCATAGTGTCACATTTTATCCACCAATAACTATGTGCTTATCTTTCAAGTAGTATAACCCTTCATTTTCCTTGCAATCCAAACACTCTTTTAAAAAATCTTCTACGCCACAGCAGCATAGTCCTTGTGTTGTTCGTTGTTTTCGTTTTCTTGTGGACTAGTAATTTTTACTTCTGGCCTTGGCAGTCTTTGAGGGTCTAAATCAGCCTAGAAGAAAATAGAGCAAAACAAAGGGATTTAGCTGTTTGGTTCACAAAGGTCGTGACATTTACAAAGAAAAAATTACTCAATATTCTATTTAATTACATAAACATTTAACTAAAAACAGTTCCTTGGGTTCCCTTTGTTTTTGTGTCTATCATGACCCAGTGGACATACCATTTTCTCAACACTTGTACAAAAGTTCTTTTGGTGACCATCATCTACTATGTGCTTTAAAGGCACAGAATCATTTTGTATGCTGCAGGCTTTATTTTTCTCATTTTTTCTTTATTTCTCTTTGAGCTTTTCTTTAATATATGTATACTTTTCAGTTCAGCATTTTCAGAGACAAAGGAAGAAACCGGGATGTTCTCCTAATTTTAGTTTCTTCCTAGAATTCACAAGTTCATTGTGAATATGGTACCAATTACCATCAAGTATCAAGTAGATAAGAACAAGACAGAAAATCAAAATGTGGAGGCAGGATATCTCCAACAGCAACTATTGCTCCTGCCACTTGGGTTTCTCCTGTTACTAATGATATTGTCTCATATACAACTCATCTTTCCCCGACTACACTGAAAACTGAGTGGGTGAGATTAGAACTAGCTGGTTTGCAAACTCTGCTCTATGAAATCCTAAATGCTCCACAGTCCCCACAAGGGCACTCATTGTGGGGGACAGAGCAGCTCCAGGACCCCCAAACCACACAGGCCATAATTTATGCTTTAAAAAAGAAATCATATATATATATGTATGTAAAAAGTTTAAAATGATTTTAAAAAGAAATCATATATAAATGAAAATAAGTGATTAAATGTAAATATATATACATTTAATAGTTAATGGAGTTACATGTATATATATTTACATTTAATCACTTATTTTTATAAATTATTTGAAATCATTAACTCCAGTACCAGTCATAGTGCACAAATTTAATATTAAAAGACCAAGTAGGGTAGGGTGCAGTGGCTCACACCTATAATCCCAACATTTTGGGAGGCCAAGGAAGGCAGATCACCTGAGGTCAGGAGTTTGAGACCAGCCTAGCCAACAAGGTGAAACACCCATCTCTACTACAACAATTAGCTGGGAGTGGTGGTGGCGGGCTACACACACACACACACACACACACACACACTACTAGTGCTGTGTCTTCTTTCACATTGTTCCTTTGTGAAATGTCTCAAATGCTATCTTGAATTCAGTACAAGTTCGAGCTCAATAAATGGAAATTGTTTCTTGTGAATTCACTGTATTTCCAGCTGTTTTCCTACAATCATCTCTCACTTTGTACAAGAATTGTTACATGGAACAAAATGTTACACAGTAAATGGAATTTCTAGTCATTTTATTAGTAAGCAGTCCTTCTGTAAAAGTTAATTATTAATTTTAACTTATAATCCACATAAGTTTGGTTTTTTATATATTTCAGTATGATTAAAATACACCTTCACTAATATCTTAGGAAGAACAAGATAAGATATATCACTGTTATAACGAAGAGCTGAGTCAAGTAAGATTAAATCTCTCTGTTAATAACTGCTCTGTTACTAATTAGGCCAGGCATGGGACCTTATGCCTCTAATCCCATCACTTTGAGAGGCCAAGGGAAAAGGACTGCTTGAGCCCAGGAATTCAAAACCAGCCTATTCAACAGAGGGAGTGGGATCTCCTCCCTATTAAACAAAAAAAAAAGAAAAAAAAAAAGGCTGGGTGCGGTGGCTCACACCTATAATCCCAGCACTTTTCGAGGCTAAGGAGGCCAGATCAGGAAGTCAGGAGACCAAGACCAGCCTGGCCAACATGATGAAAACCCATCTCTACTAAAAACACAAAAATTAGCTGGGTATGGTGGCCTGAGCCTGTAATTCTAGCCACTTGGGAGGCTGAGGCAGGAGAACTGCTTGAACCCAGGAGATAGAGGTTTCAGTGAGCCGAGATTATGCCACTGCACTCCAGCCTGGCAACAGAATGAGGCTCAGTCTCAAAAAAAAAAAAAAAAAAAAAATGGCCTGGCATTATGGCACCTGTGGTCCCAGCTATTCACAGGAGGATGAGATGGGAAGATCACTTGATCCCGGGAGGTCAAAACTGCGATCAAGCCACTGAACTAACTACAGCCTGGATGACGGAGTGAAACCTTGTCTGGAAAAAAAAGAAACCCTAATTAGGCTTTGTCTCAAAAACAAAAGAAAAAAAGGGCACTTCCTCATTTGAATTCCCAAGAATTTAGATTCACCCACATTACATACCACTGGCCATTGCCAAATTATAGAACCTTGATCTTGACGGATACTCAATTCCTATCAAAAGCCTATTTTCCCCTTTAAAAAAAAGTATTCATTTATTATAATTGGCAAATAACGGTGTTTTGAAATATGTATTCACTGTGGAATGGCTTAATTGAATTAATTAGCCTATGTCTTGCCTCACATACTTATCCTCTTTTATGGTGAGAATACTTCGAATCTACCCTCTTAGTGATTTTCAAGTACACAGTGTTAGTAATTACAGACACCTTGTTTTACATCTCTTGAACTTACTCTCCTTTCTTTTTTTTTTTTTTTGAGACGGAGTTTCGCTCTCGTTACCCAGGCTGGACTGCAATGGCGCCATCTCGGCTCACCGCAACCTCTGCCTCCTGGGTTCAGGCAATTCTCCTGCCTCAGCCTCCCGAGTAGCTGGGATTACAGGCACCCGCCACCATGCACAGCTAATTTTTTGTATCTTTAGTAGAGACGGGGTTTCAGCATGTTGACCAGGATGGTCTCGATCTCTTGACCTCGTGATCCACCCGCCTCGGCCTCCCAAAGTGCTAGGATTACAGGCTTGAGCCACTGCGCCCGGCCTACTCCTCCTCTCTAACAGAAATTTTGTGTCATTAGACCAACGTCTCTCCAACCCCCATACTCAGTCCCTGGTAACAACCATTCTACCTTCTACTTCTGTGAGTTCAACATTTTTAGATTACATATATATGTGAGATCGTGTGGTATTCGTCTTTCTTTGGTTGGCTTATTTCACTTAACATAATATCCTCCAGGTTTATCCATGCCGTTGCACATTACAGGATTATTTTTTAAAGCTATGTTTACGGAAGATGGAAGGACAGGCAATCCATTTCTGTAAAATCTATTTACGTCACATACTGAATTAAGCTAGAACGCTGGAGAAATTCATGCTTGGATCTTACCACCTAGTCCCACATAGAATTACACTTTGATTTCATTTTGTAAGCTTTCATCCAAGCTACTACAACCAAGAGTTTTATGAAACCTACTCTTACAGTTGCCATATAAATGACACTGAGGACCATGTAGAACTACATACGGGGAATTTCTTACATCTCTTGACTTACTCTCCTTTCTTTTTTTTTTTTTTTTGAGACGGAGTTTCGCTCTCGTTACCCAGGCTGGACTGCAATGGCGCCATCTCGGCTCACCGCAACCTCTGCCTCCTGGGTTCAGGCAATTCTCCTGCCTCAGCCTCCCGAGTAGCTGGGATTACAGGCACCCGCCACCATGCACAGCTAATTTTTTGTATCTTTAGTAGAGACGGGGTTTCAGCATGTTGACCAGGATGGTCTCGATCTCTTGACCTCGTGATCCACCCGCCTCGGCCTCCCAAAGTGCTAGGATTACAGGCTTGAGCCACTGCGCCCGGCCTACTCCTCCTCTCTAACAGAAATTTTGTGTCATTAGACCAACGTCTCTCCAACCCCCATACTCAGTCCCTGGTAACAACCATTCTACCTTCTACTTCTGTGAGTTCAACATTTTAGATTACATATATATGTGAGATCGTGTGGTATTCGTCTTTCTTTGGTTGGCTTATTTCACTTAACATAATATCCTCCAGGTTTATCCATGCCGTTGCACATTACAGGATTATTTTTAAAGCTATGTTACGGAAGATGGAAGGACAGGCAATCCATTTCTGTAAAATCTATTTACGTCACATACTGAATTAAGCTAGAACGCTGGAGAAATTCATGCTTGGATCTTACCACCTAGTCCCACATAGAATTACACTTTGATTTCATTTTGTAAGCTTTCATCCAAGCTACTACAACCAAGAGTTTTATGAAACCTACTCTTACAGTTGCCATATAAATGACACTGAGGACCATGTAGAACTACATACGGGGAATTTCTTACAGAATAGGCCTGTGATTCTCTCACCTTGAGAAAAGATAAAATGAGAGACATGCTGAGCATTTTCATGCAGATGTTCAGAACAGTTTGAATAAGCCATATAGTGAATTCCAGATAACTTTGTACTGCTGTTGAAACCTGGCCACCAGAACATTCTGCATTTGCCACTGCTAAACTTGCTCTCCCTAAGCAAGATAACTCAGATGCATCAACAACCAATCATCAAGTAGACCTCATTCATCATAGTGTGTGTTCGGAATGAGCAGACCAAGGCCCACATTTCCACAGTTACAGCCGAGGCAAGTGGGCCTTGACTCGTATGGACAGACAGGCCGGGAGGGGATTAAGAAGATGGTGAGAATCTTGTGGAGAACATTCTGCCTCTTATGCTGTGAGTACTCAATCTGAGCCTGGCAGCAGTGGGGTCATACTGTCCATGGAAGAATGACTGATGAGTATCCAGCTCCAGGATCGACGAAGGAGGACAGGCACGGAAAGAGCAGAGGTTTCACCACGTCTTACTTTTTTTGTTCTTTGTTTTCATCACATTTTTCTTTATCCTCTGTGTATAATAAATAGGACTACCAAGCGCCTGATGTGTTGAATGCTTAATTTGATTAATCTATTTGAAATAGAACAATTGAACCAGACTTCAGTACTTCTAGAGATCAAAGAAGTCACTCATAACAGAGAGAGTATTCTTTATTTCATGTCTAGGTCTCACTGGTCTTGATATTCTTTTCTGGTTTCTACCTTCTCTGGTCTTAACTTATTTTTACTTTTTTACATTTCTTTGATTAAGTATGTTCTTAGAAGGCTCTGTACATTTTCTTGTAAAATGAGGCAGAAGGTGGACAGACGGAAGGACAACTGGCTAAACGTATGAATGGCAGAAGGGCAGACATGGACTGTCAGGTCAATGGCAGTACTTGTTAAATGGTTGAAATAACTGGTAAATACAGTGATTAAATGGTATTGACGCTTTCATACTCAACCGTAAGTGGTTTCAATACAAGCACTAAACACTTGGTTAATTCTGTAAATGCATGCATGTATGCACACACACACACACACACACATTCATGCATTCATGACGTAAGTAAGCAAAAGCAATACGAATACCTCATCTTGTCCACTGCCATCTCCTTGAGACGTTCTTTCCTCGTCTGGGGCCAGTTGAAGCTCGTCATTAACCTGGTCTAGCTCCTCACCATTTTCTTCATCAGTGACTCCACTTACACGAGCAGGCCCTGCCCGCTCCTCACCGTGATCCAGAATCTCCTCGACTTGCTGAGGGGCATCTGCAGCCTCCCCACCTCCTTCCTCTTCAAGGTCACCATTCATTCCTGAAAAGTCTTCGTTCTGTTCTGCATCCTTGTTTGCCTTCTCTCCATCTTCTTCCTCATCTACTATTTCTGCTGGCCTCTGATGGATAAAAAGGAATAATGGATAAAAATAAGAAGCATAGCAGAAAATTTCCACTGCACATCATAGTAATGTAATAGTTATTACAGTCAAGTAAAACCTCCTTACGTTTGCATAGTACTTTACAGTGTAGAATGCACTTGCGTTTACTGAGTACTTACCATACGCCACATGTGACAAGTATTCCCTCATTTAACCCTCACAACAATTCTTTGAGATTGGTATCATTCCCATTTTGCAGATGAGAAAACTAAACAGGGAGAGCCCAAGATCCCACAGGAAGAGCCAGAGTTTTAACTAAACCTGTGTCTCCAGAACCAGTGCTCCCCATGGCAGACAGAAAACCAAACCTCAGAGTCCTTGGCCAGTGTCTAATAAAGTGCCTGGCCCAGAGGAGGTGGTTAAAAAAAAAAGTCTTTGTGCAGAGATTATCATCCTCAGTGCTGAGGATGGGGGCCATGGCACCAGGCTGTGAATTCATGTTTTCTGATATGGAAAAAAGACAGCTTTCCCCACAATGCCTAAGGAAGCTGACAGCTTATCTCTAAATACAACAACTGATTGTCCTGCAGATCGAAGGGCAAGAAAGTATACATCCTCTCTATAAGAATAATAAAGCGGAAGTATTTTATAAGCCTTAGTCAAACATTTTACTGTTCTACTGTTATTTGGATAGACATACATCTGCTTCAAGACGGAACAGGAGGCCAACTTCCAGAGTCAAGACTTTGGAGAAAAACCCAGGTTCGAGTCCTGGCCAGGCACTCACTGGCTGTTACCTACCTTTGGTGAGTTTCAGATTCCCCATTTATAAAATGAGAATGTAACAAAACTTCCATGGAGATTAAACGAGAAAAGTTGTAAAAAGTGTCATAGTTTCTGGCACATCATAGATCCTAAAACACATGGAAATCTCTTCCCATTGGTTACATTCTTTCCTGGGGCTACCATATTTCTTCAGTGCTATCAGTAAAATCACAATTTTGTTTTAATGGTGGGGTACAAAGATTTGATGTTAGATCTCATTATTGCCTCTGTTTAGTTGCCTGACAATGGACAGGTCACTTCATTCTCCTTCCCTGTAAAATGAGAGTTTGGAACCTAATTATCCCTGACACCCCTTTCAACTCAAGAAGCCCATCTCATCTACCTGACCAAAGATCTGACCAGACTTCTGTAACATTACAGAAGGTAACATAATGCTTTCAGTTTGGGAAGCAAAGAAGGAAGGAAATGAAGGGGAGTAGACTGAAAGTTCGGAATAAAATTCCACACATTATTTTGAAGAAGAAAGAGTCGGAACTAGTAGTAATTCTCATCTTCTGTCAAAAATGAAGTCTCGGATTTAATTATATACCACCAAATATATATTTTTTAAATGAAGGGGAAAAAATAGTTGTTCTTAGATATTGGAAAACCATAGTGTTTGTCATTATGCAGATTAAAAGATACCATGAGTCTGAGCTGTTCAAATTTTATTTGGATGTTTAGGGTCAAATAGTGGAGAGTCCTAGCTATCCCTGAGCATGTCATCAGGGTGGAACCCTCACAAATGCAGAATGCTGGACAGAAACTCAGGTCCAGATGGGGACGGATCTGCCAGCTGGTGCTAAAAGGCAAAAGATGTATGAACATAACTCACAATGCTTGGTAAGAAGTTTCTGGTGTTTAACATATGTGACCTAAATGAACGAAAATGAAAAAGTCTCCAATCTCTAACAAACAGAGTAACATTTCCAGTATCCCCACCAGACTCTTGTCTCACCCTCTCTCCAAAGGAGCAAGCTTAGCAAGGCACTGAGACACACACACACACACACACACACACGCAATTGAAGTGATAAGGAGAGGAGAGCCTGGCAAGGGAAAGATCAGCAATGTTATCATAAAAACAAAATGGAGAATTCATCACACATGAAAATGGGTTGCATTTCTACACTAACAGAAAGGACATTACAGAAACAATTTCATTTACAATAGCATTAAAAAGAATAAAATACTTAGGAATTAGCAAAGGAGGTAAAAGACTTGTGCAATGAAAACTATAAAACATTGCCCAAAGAAAATCTAAAAGACATAATAAGTGGCATAATAAAAGGCATAATAAACATGCCCCATGTTAATGTATTAGAATAATTAATATTGTTAAGATGTCAGTATTATCCAAAGTGATCTACAGATTCAATGCAACCCCTGTCAAAACCCCAGTGACGTTTTTTTGCAGAAAGAGAAAACCCATCCTGTAATTCATATCAAGTCTCAAGGGACCCTGAATGGCCAAAACAATTTTGAAAAAGGACAAAGTTGGAGAATTTCCACTTCTGTATTGCAAAGCTTACTGCAAAGCTACAATACCCAAACCAGAGTGGTGCTGGGATTAGGACAGACGTACAGAACAATGGAATAGAGCAGCGAGTCCAGAACTAAACCTTCACATATGCGGTCAAATGGTTTCTGACAAGGGTGCCAAGACCATTCAGCGGGGAAAGGACAGTCTTTCAACAAACTGTGCTGGAAAGGACAGTCTTTCAACTGGGTATCTACATGCAAAAGAATGAAGCTGCATCCTTACCTAACATATATACAAAAATTAACTCCAAATGAATGAAAGACCTAAATTTAAAACCTAAAACTACAAACCCTTAGAGAAAATCCTGGGGCAAAAGCTTTATGGCACTGGATTTGGCAATGATTTCTAAGATGTGGCACTAAAGACATAGGCAACAACAAAAAAATACATAAATGGGACTTCATAAAAATAAAACGTTGTACTTCAAAAGACAATACCAGCAGAGTCAAAAGGCAATTCACAGAATAGGAGGGAATGTTTGTAAGTCATTTATCTGATAGGGGCTTGATATCCAGAACATACAGAGAACACCTAAAATAGTAACAACACAGAAAGTCTCATTCAAAAATGTGAAAAGTACTTGAATAGACATTTCTGCAAAGAAGATATACAAATGGCCAATAATCACATGAAAAGATCCTCAACATTACTAATAATTAGGGAAATACAAATTAAGACTACAGTAAGATACTACCTCACACCCGTCAGGATGACAATAAATAAATAAATAAACAGAAGAAAATAAGGCAAGGATGTGGAGAACTGGAACTCCTGGGCGTTCTTGGTGGGGAAGCGAAATGCTACAGCCACCTGAAAAACAGTATGGTCCTTCCCCCAAAAGTTCGAAACAGTCACCAAATGGTCTAGCAGCTCCGCTTCTGGGTAAACACCCCAAGGAACTGAAAGCAGGGTCTTGAAGAGATAGTTGTACACCCAAGTTTATAGCAGCATTATTCAAAATAGCTGGAAATATGGAAGCAACCCATATGTTCATCAATAGATGAGGGGATAATCAAAATGTAGTGAATCCATACAATGGAAGAATATTGTTCAGCCTTAAAAAGAAAGAAAGTCCTGATACAAAATGGGTGAAACAGACATATTATGCTAAGTGAAATAAGCCAGTCACACAAAAAGACAAATACTGTATGATTCTACCGATGTGAGGCACATAGAGCAGTCAAACTCATAGAGACATAGAGTAGAATGGTGGTTGCCAGGCTGACGGCGGGAGAAATTGGGAGTTCCTACTTAATAGGTATGGAGTTTCAGTTTTTCAAGACAAAAAGAGTTTTGGAGCTGGCTGGTGGCGGTGGTTACACATTGTGAATGTATTTCATACCACTGAACTGTACGTACACTTAAAACTGGTAAAGATGATAAATATTGCATTATGAGTATATTACCACACAAAAAGTAGAGCAGAAAATAATGTCCTGACCCAAAGATTATATTTCTGCATCGCTGAAGAGCAAGGACTTGTAGGGAGTTCAGGAAAGGAACCCACACCAGGAAGTCAAGAGTTTTCCTTTACCAAGACACTAAGACAGAGAGGGGACTTCCAAGGGGGAAGAAAGAAAAACAAACCCGCCTAGAGAAAACACAGTGGATGGCTCCCCACAAACATGTCAGAAGAAGCCGGGAAAAGGCCTGTGGACCTTTGGCCCACAGACAAGTTTCCTTCCATGGACTCTGCAGGATGGCGTACATGGCCATTGTGGGACCCTGAGATACACACAGGGGACTCTCAGGCCTCAATGCTTCAGTGATTGGGCCTAGGGCACCCATCTGTGGTAGGCAGTACTCCCAGTTCCCAATTCAGAGATAAATACCACCGTCTATGAGATCAAAGAGTGCTTCCAGGTGGGGTGTTTGGCCACAGACTCCTACAAGTCAGTGTCAACAGTGTTTGCAGGTAGTGACAGGCGAGAAAGGAGGGGCAAATGGAAGTGCAAACGCTGAGGACCCCTCTGTGCCAGACGTCACACTCAGCACTTCATGCGACTCTCACTACAGCCCTATGAGTTACATTTCTTATACCTGTTAGAAAAGCAGAGAAAATGAGAAGTTGCTTGACACTTCCCACATCACAGGGCAGGTGACCAGGTAGGGCAAGGGTATAAACCAAAGGCAGTCTTATCCCACAGTCCTAGTATCTTCCCTTAAATTAATAACCAAACAAGTTGCCACGTTAAGGACACTCACATGTACTTTCAATGACCAGAAAATATGAGATCTGCAGTGGGCAACATTACTTTTACTGTGTAAAAAATTACTGACCTGAGGCCAGGCATGGTGGCTCATGCCTGTAATCCTAGCCCTTTAGAGGCAGACTACCTGAGCCTGGAAGTTCAAGAACACCCTGCGGGCAACAGGATGAAACCCTGTCTTTACTAAAATACAAAAAATTCGCCGGGCTCGGTGGTACAATCCTGTAATCCCAGCCAATCAGGAGGCTGAGGCAGGAGAATTGCTTGAGCCTGGGAGATGGAGGTTGCAGTGAGCCAAGGTCATGCCACCACGCTCTGGCCTGGGTGACAGAGCAAGACTCCATCTCAAAAAAAAAAAAAAAAAAAAAATTACTGACCTGGAAACAAAATATTTTGGGATTTCTATCACTGACTTTTGGTGTGATCTAGGAAGGAAAACA